AAATTATATATGCAAACTTAAATTTGATTAATTAAAAAAAAAAAAAATATATAAATAAAAAATTATATATGCAAACTTAAATTTGATTAATTAAAAAAAAAAAAAATAATGACAATTTTCTATAAGTACTCGGGATCAACTAACAATGTTTCTGAAATTTTGGTAATGACTATAAGCTGATGTTTGTTTGTGTTGTTTTTTGTTGTTTTTTTTTCGATTACAACGGATACATTTCGAATCTTTTCAATCAATCAGCTTTTTATATGAAGTGATTACATTTGATTCTTTCACAGTATGGACAGTAAAGTGATTCGTTTCTAATTTATGGTATACAAAGATAAGCAGACACGCAGTTTATTTGTAATAAAGAAATGTTCGAGGATCTAATTCTTGGTAGAATAAGGTAGAATGATAGAAACAAGACTTGGGGCGAAGTTTTGAACATTAAATAAACATTTGTTTTAGAATAAAATTACATTGAGCTATCTCAGTTCGATTCCGCAGGGTATCAATCCCTGGATTTCAACGCTGTTGGACCATATATTTACCGTTATCCCACTGAGGGATACAAATAATCACTTTATTAACAAATGGAATAGGATGTGAATTGGAATAAAGCTTGATTGTGCTGATGGTAGAAATCTATTACGTTACAGTTATAATTAAAAAGTAAAATAATATGTATTTCAGTGAAGAGTAAATAAAAGAAATTGTATTTAAAATATAAAAAGATGAAAATAAATCGAAGACTATTTGTTTAACTGAATTGCGGAAATAATGTCACGTACATGGCCAGCAGGATTTCAACAGCAGATCTTGATTCTCTCAAGACAAAAACGAATTTAGCTGAAAACACTTAAATTCACATTCTCTCTATAGATGGCTAATAACAAATATCCAGAAGTATTTCTGCTCCACGTGACAGCCATAAAGTAGTCCCAAGTACACAAGGTAATGTAGGGTATAAAGCAACTATTCTATAAATAGTCGATTGTCTTTTTGACTACATTTTACAATTTAGTCGTTGGGTGTGATAAGTTAGCGTGATCTTAACATTCAACAGTGTGCATGTGTATATGTATTGTTATGTCTCCGTTCGTTAGTTGATTTTCCGTAACTTCGTTCCGACGAAACTTTAGCGACACAAGTCCTTACTTAATAAAACTGGTTTATTCTTTCTGAACATAACTTTACCGATACACTTATTTTCAACAGTCGCTCTATAACAAACGTTTTAACAACGAACGTTAATTTCAACAATACTTTCTGACTGTAGTTCAATTACTCACTACCTACACACATTGTCCCGTCACGTTATGAGCGTCTTATATGTATACCAGTCTAACATATATCTAGTAAATGCTAGAGCATTCACGAAGGAACAGGATAGTTCTAGAAACGTGGCGTGACACTAGTCACGTGACCTCGCTGACGCAACACTGCCCCCACCTTAGTATTGTTCGTCCCGAACAATAACCACATACAGTAAACCAATAACAATAACTTAATTAAAATGTACAGAATTACAAACACAAAATTACAATTCAACAAAGTCTCTTAATTTTACGGAACGTATCTTCTTCCGTACTGGTCTCCGTCTCGTTGGCTTCTGCTTCATGTGGGGTTCATCTGCTCCATCAGTAAATGTCCTATCATCGGTAACAGTCACATCAGTGGTAGTAACTTCATCAAGAGCTTCATCATTTCCCTTCTCAAAACTGAGTAGAGTTTCTTCTTCGACGTTGGCTTTTTCAGATGACACCTCTTCAGCAGCGTCATTTGTTCCTTTGTTCACTTCGTCCCAACTGAAATGTCCTGGACCGTGATAATGCCAAAGCCTGTTGGCATGCACCACTTTTGGCTTACCTCGCCGACCACATTTTATCCGGAAAGTCACGTCTGAGAGACGATCCACTATGTCATATGGGCCTTCCCATGGAGAAGACAACTTAGGAGACTTCCCTTTGGTCTTCCGGGGATTATACAACCCCACCTTGTCTCCTGGTTCAAAGCTGACCTCTGTAGATCTCTTATCATAAGTTAACTTCAACGAACCAGCAGCCGTTTTCAACTTTAAATGCACAAGATGGTGGATATCATCCATCCTTTCCGATAACACTTCCATAAACTCTGACATATTCAC